ACCACCACCGGTTATAGAGTTAAGCAGCCATCAATGTCTGCATCGGATTGCATCCACGATGCCGGCTGATGATACGTGGAAGCAAAAAGGCGGTCATTTAACGCGCTCAATTATTCAGCCGGTGATTCAGCCGCGCGGTCAACACGTTCAAGAGCGAAAGCGTGCCGCGGCGGTCGGGCGTGTATCTCGAGCGGGAATTCCCGACCGAAAAGAGGGATCGCTTTTTCGTCGCCGCCGCGCGCGACTTTCAATTTCGACCGGCGCGCGCGTAGTGTGCGCACGCACACGCGTCGAAGGGATCCGGAAGAGGCCACCTCATCTCCCGCGAATTCGCCCGGCCACTGACTTCTTCTTCCCTCTCGTCGTCGTTGCATAACTCGCTCAAGCTCCTTCCTCGTCGGGGAACGACGTCGCGTGGCCGCGGCGGCAGATGAGAGCCACTGAATCGTGTACCGGTTGTTCCACTCGTGGAATGCGGACCGGCACTCTGTGTGCGTGCGCGCCTCGCTGTTGTGTGCGTGCCGGCTCACGTACGCAGTGCCGTACAAGCGCGATACGCCTACGATCGAGTAATTTGCTCGACTTTCGGTCAAATGCTGAAATGCGCGTCGCCGACGTTTCTCGAACTCGTCGCATTTTTCCAACCTGTCCCCAATTTGTCTCCGCTCGACCAAGCGTCCTGCTTTTTTCGGGGATACGGTATCGCGTATGTTATTCAAACACCGTGGCGATAGTAAGTGAAAATTGGATAACAATTGGTACATTGTCGAGTGGCGCATAATCGAGGTCCCATAAGTTTACTATTTATCAAGCAAAATTCCTATATAATTATTTATATCTATCTAAATAATAAGTGTCAATTTGAGATGAAGCTAAGATAAACATATAATATGACAAGTACGAAAATATTAATTTGTATTCTTTTTATTAACGCTATACATCAGTTCTGATCTAATAGAGATGCAGATAACGGGAAGGGATATTAAATATATCCCGCGTATGTACATATATCTCGAATATTATTATATAGATTATAAACTTTCCACCACTATATTTTCATCCGAAATAGTCAATAATTTGGAAATTTTTACAATATATATAAGTTAAATTTATAGTTTCTGCACAAATATATGTATATATATATTTATTTATTTATTTTATGACAGTTTTTTATACTTCATACGCAAATATGTCAAGTTATAATAAAATAAATGTATTATGAGGCTTCTACGTATGCTTACATACAAATTTATAATTAAATATCTCGGAAACGATAAAGATTATTGACATTTCTGTTACGCATTGTCGAGTAACCGACGACTCCTATTTTATACGAAAGCAACATACGATATATCAATATATTAATTAAAAAAGAATAAAATGAATATATATATACAACCGAATTATTTAACAGAATAGTGCAAGATAAGAGTTATTAGGAAAAACAACAACAATTGAAGATTGTATACGGTACATGAATAGAAAGTCTTTCTAAACGGTTTTATTCTCCGATTACGTTCTAGTTGCGAATACAAATTAGAGCCTGCGTGTTACGGCATTATCATACATCCATGCGTACGCGCGCATACGTGTGGACGAGAGAAAGGGTTGGCTACGCACGTGTGCATCTTTCACGCGGACGCAAATATTGTTATTATTGTTTACGACCGGAGGAGTGCGCACGCCGCGTTGCGTTAAGAAAGCATTGTTTGCATCTCATTGTCCATGCGCCTTTGCGTAACCGCGATATTGCGGGTCGCCGTCGGCGGCGACAACAGCCGGCGACGATTCTCGATTCTAAAGGATGGAATGTATTCGATAATATCGGAATGTACATATTTTGGAAAGACGTGACGAATGAAGAAAACGGGCCGATTACCCGGGTAATAGTAGTGCTCGCGTGAATTTCCCAGCGCGCATTAATCAGCAGTAACGTCGCAATTCGTCTTACGGGGCTGAGATTCTTTTTGATCGAACGCGATGCGGCTGTTCTCTTAATAGACACATTAACTTTATGCGTTGTAATCGACGGCGGAAATTAAATCTTATGTTCCAGTTATAAATCAGTTACGTGTCCTCGGGCGCTAAATGAAGGACGCGATTATTCGATCCAGGCAAAGGGAGAGTATCGACTGGCGCGCGCTCTTATAATTAACGACTCGTACGAACTCGTTACGTTTCGCAACTCCTAATTGACTCGCTCGAATTATCGCGTCTGCGATCTCGTGTTTGTTGATACGATATCGTATTAGAAGGAATACATTATATTTATTTGCATATGCATGTACCTCCTTCGCGTCATATTTCAACGGAAGCCTCGTATGCTCGCGTCAGCCCGGGGGAATTAAAATTAATTATCATTCCGGTCGGATTAAGATCGCGTTCTCGCACAATCAATTTCCTCGTGACGATTTTTATACGCGAGGCTACAACCGGAAAACGATGGAGCGAGGACGTTACTTGTACGTAGTTTCTTACAAACAATAGGAGGAAGTCGTACCTCATAAATATTGCCGCGGCGCGAGGGACTCTCGCCGGCCACTGTATGCAAATTTAGCCACTATGTCGTGTGCGCTGTCCGTACTGATCGGGCACCCGGTATAAGCAACCCTCCGGCATCGTGGTGTCGCGATTCTAACATTCCCCGATGGATTCCGCTGAATTGCTGTAGACGAGCCGAACTTTTCAATTCCACGGTTTTGAGTCTTCAAATGGAAAAAAACGGTAATAATTTCCGCATTTGCAGCACTAAAAGAGCACAAGAAGAAGACCTTTGAACATTCAATGTAGAACTAAATCAAACTTAATGCAGAGCTAAAATTTCGACTCGAGTTGTTTCGACACAGCAAGACTTTAAATAGTTCCTTTCTTTTATTCTTCGCTATTGTAAGATATTTTGCAATACTGAGCATAAAAAGATTTCTATTTCTATTTTCTACCTAATAAATCTGAAGAGAATTATATAATTTTTCTGTTTTCTTCTCTCTTTTTTTTTTTTAATTAATTTTCTTAATAGATGCCAATATATTTAATTAATAATCAGAATAATGTAAATTGTAAAGTCAGTGTGCATTAGACACTCGGTATAGGAAGAGGCGACCAGGTTCCACCAGGTGTGCGGGTATGACAGCGGCGATAAAATGACGGATTTAAAGCGATTTCAGCGATTAAAACCGAGCTGTAAAACCGAGGTTAAGAAGCAACTAAATAAAGGGATAGGCAACGAGCAGCTCAGAGCAGCTTGCGACTTTTGACACGCGTGGATTCAAGACAGCGAATTTATGGTTTCCTCGACAGTCAAAATCTGCACAAGGCGGAAGAAATTTAATTAGCATATTCAGGAGGAGGAGTCTACGTCGCAAGAGCAGATGCTCGAGCTTTGGTTTTTCAACACTTTTATCGTGACTTTTTCTATGTCACGTTATTTTGAGAAAAAGAGGGAGGAGATTATTAATTATTCATTTGGAACGTAAAAAATTAAAAAATTATATAATTTTTGGAAATATACATGAAAATACTGACAAGAAAATAACACTCTATCCGTACAAGTATATTGTGTTATTACATTTACATAAAATTATAATATATAAACCCTAGTGGAAATGTATGCAAAATTTTCATAGATAGTTTCCCCATCCAGTTATTATCTACTATTAATGCATTCTCATTGGTTGTAACAATATTGCTTAGAAAATGGACAAGAACTTGATTTAGATCGAGTTTTATTCAGGGGTATTTGAAAACTGCCTATTTCATAAAGAGCGGGTTTGCTTATTAATCAATTGAATAGCTCTTTGTCCTTTTATTGTTCCGTTTTCGTTCAATAAATATGTTCGGATTTTACGCGTCTTTTATGCGCAGCGAAAGCGTTATATCTTGATTGGGATCCCAAGTAATTTCACCTCGAGTAAGTTTTATTCTTCAGCTGCTGGACAGAAGTTAATAAACTGGCCAGTAATTGCTGAAGAAATGCGTGAAACCTCCGCCAGGGAGGAGCTGGAGGGAATTACAAACTGGAGGATAGAAAATGTTAGCATGATAATTATAATTAAACGTCAGGTATACAGGGTGTCCCAAACTGATCTCGGTTCCCGTGGTGTTGTGTCAGTAGAAACGCGAGCTGAATTCTTTTTTTTCCGCGCGACAGGAAATAAACGACTACGCCGACGGTCTCGATCAGACGGGAAGGCGACATGTGCGTTCGCAAATTAAATCGCCGAGTTACTCGCTTAACCTTTCCGGACAAAGAAATCACCGACCGGCACCGTTGATCCGTCGATCTGTTGAAATTTAAAGCGCCCTCCTCACACCTGTCGGAAATTTATCAAGCTTTTTCTCAGAGATCGGCGCCCAGCTGCGCGCATAAAGCGTCGAATTTCGCGATTCTCCCGGAATCATTGAGGAGCCGATATATCGACTACGTTGCGATAAGACCTCCCGGTTGGAAATCCCGATTCGTTAGCCATTATCAGCGTGCTCGCGTTGCATCTGTAAGAAATCGTTACAAGATTATCTCCACGTAACAATAGGAGAAGACGTTCTCCTGTTGTTGAGAACGAAGCTTCGACGCTAGCTAGCTAGAATCACTTAGACGCAAACTCTTCGATCATTTCCGCGGCTTCTCGATAACTGTAAAAGATTAAAATAATTCTTCCGAATAAATCGTATCGTGCTGGAAATTCGTTTTGTTCCGATTCAACCGCTCCATTTCTTACAACATCAGAAGTGAGATAACTACACCATCCTTACACGTCAAAGCGAGGAGAGGAGAGGAAGCGGCTGATCTATCGCCGGTATTTTTTTTCTTCCTCATATCACCGCCGAAGGCGATAGCCAGATTCGAGGAGAGTGATGTACGATCTCGATTATCGCTCGCTCGGGCCTCCTCGTAATCGTCGTATTTGTCAACCGTTATCGGTCACCGTTTCGGTCGGTCGCGCTTACGCTCTTCTACATACTTTATCGCGCACTTTTTGCTCCCTTATCGCTTATTCTTCCAGGGTTGTCTCGTACAACGCGTCCTACGATCGTGGTAGCGGCGCAGCTCGTCGTCGGACGTCCGGGAGGCGGAAGTGCCGTTGTTGTTGACGATGGAAGCGGGAACGTGTCGATTCGCCTGAGGGACGACAGTATCCGTAGATACGCAAGGTGAGTCCCTCCTCTACTCGGCCGGCGGAACGGAACCCGGCGCGGCGTCGGTCATTAAGATTTCAAGAGATACGGGAAATAAATTAAGCGGATAAGCGGACGAACGGAAAGCCGGCGGCGGGCGGCTAGAGATAAATCGAGTGGCGGAAGAGAGACGAGGAGAGATAAGGGGAGGGGGGAAGGGAGGCCGCGTTTTTCAGGATCGCTTGGCCAGGAGAGAGAGAGAGCTCAGCCTCTCCTTTATGCCGGCCGATAGTTTCCAATAGCGAACGAAGATAAGGGCAACGGCCATCGCTTTGCTGAAGACGCCGACCTCGAGAGAGGGAGGAGGGGGAGAGAAAGAGCGAGCTCGGCTTCCGCGATTAAGATGTGCGACGAGGAATCCATGAATCCCGTCCCGATACATATCTAATCCGGCATTGTCGCCGCCGATAATCTCCGCTCGCCGTTTTTTCGCGACGCGTCGAGAAATCGCGATGAAGACGTTAACGATCTCGCGCTAGCGATGCAATCGTCGCCGATCGCTGTCATTGTCAGAAATCGGAGGAAAAGTACCGATGCGCCGCGTACTTTGGTTTTTACGCCCCGTCGGAGGTATAGAATTAAAATTTATCATTATATGGATGTGTCCGATGAAGACGTCACGATCTTCTTATTTAACGTGTCTCGATGGCCGCGTCGGGATTTAAGCGCGCATCCGCCGCTTTATCGCGGCATTATTATTATTGTTCTCACAACGGCGGCGGGTGGCGAACACAAATCCCGGTAGATCGCGTTCGAGTCGGTGAAAACTGAAGGAAAAGAGTGTTTTATCCCGCCCGCCCGCGCTGCTCGTGCATTGTTGAAATCGCCGTGGGCCTATCGGCTCGGACGTTAATGTATGAATAATAATTGATCATTAGGGAGAGGGTATCTTGACATTCGTACACCACCCGNGGGGGGGGGGGGGGGGGATTCCTTTGTTGGACTCGGCGCGCGAGCGAAGCAGATAATTCGGAAGTTAAATTAACCGAGACAGTGTCTGTTTTTCTTAGATACACACTCGCGTCGCGAGAAGTCAGAAATCGCGCTATATTAGATAACAACCGCCGTTGTTTCTGAGCGGACGGTATCGATTGACAGGCGCACAAAAGCGTGTAGCATAATTATAAATATAATTTCAGCAAATCGTCGTCGTGTCATTTTCTTTTCGGTTACGATTTTGAGGTAAAATCGAATTGAATATTAAGAGAGTATTTTCAAATGTGTACACACATTGTCTCATTTCGTTGAATCGATCGAAGAAACGTTACAAATTGAACGGATGCGATGGGTGGATTGTTGTCTGTATTTGAAATACGTATCGGCCACCTGTTTGAACACCGCAAAGTTCTATTCGACACATTATCGTGATATTCGGAAAACTTCCTGGGCGCTTCTCAGCGTTCCTTCGACCATCGACCACGCTAACCTTCCACGATATGTACGGGCTTCGTCGTTTATCGCGACGCCGTAACTTATGCGTCACCCGTTATCTGGACGCGCTTATTATGCATGTTATCGTCTCTCCCCCTTCGACGAGGGAAGAGCCATAAATTTAATAGCCCCCGGTGCGCGGAGGAGGCTTCCTTCGGCATGAAAATCCGAATCGTCGTCCCTCCGGGACTCGATTCCTCTCTCTCTCTCTCTCTCTCTTTTGCCTCTCGTATCTTAGCTTTATATATGTATACATTGAAAAAAGAGTTTGGTAGCAATTAAACAAACATTTAGTGAAATAGTTTCAACTAAACGATTTGGTTACAGTAATCAAATCATTTAATTGCGTGGTATGTGTAACTGAATGATTTCATCATTCTGAGCAAGTAATTTAGTTGAAACTATTTTACTAAATGTTTGGTAATTGTTATCAAACAAGCGTAACGTATATATGTTATAACGTATATATGTTATACGTTACGCTTGTTTGATAACAATTACCAAACATTTAGTAAAATAGTTTATATACGCCAAAGCACGTATTTTGAAAAAAACCTGGGGCAGTTGATCGCACGCGAACGCGATCGAGATTTTTACCTTTTGAACTCTTCGCGTATCTAATATTTTTTTAATCCTTTATCACATAATTTTGAGGAAATATAAATTTGAATTCCTCAACTGGGATAAATTGAGAAGAATAACATTTCACAAATTCTTAAAACTTTCTTTTCTCAGAACATTCAGTTACCTGAAATTTGATTATCAATAGATTTGCGATTGCTGAAAGACTTTAGTCAAGAGAACCTTTATATATCCCGTTTGAGTCAGTTTCATTCGCGATGAATGGACGGGTTTTCGTTTTATCGATTTTGATTGATTATCGCAAGGTGCTTTGTCTCGAAGACCCGTTAATTACTTAATTATGTTGTTCGCGACCTCCGTTAAAAATGATCGCCCCGATGAAAATTTCTCACGATAAGCGGCGATCTTTCATTTCAAGCTTCGACTCGACAGCTCGGACTCTGTATGACTCGAGTTGTCGGTAAAACTACGGTTATCGCAGTCCATTATTTGCGCCGAGGGGCGTTCGGTCTCCGGACAGTGGAAAATTTCGCGCCGATCGGCGGCTCGCTCGTACCGCGAGGGAAAACAGATAGATTGTGCCCGCAGTGTTTACGCATCGGGAACATGTGGATGCGAAGAGATCGAACCGAGGAATCGAATCGTCGTGATAACGGGCCAACGAAGCCGACGATGCGGTGCCCGACGTCTCATGCGTCGAAACTCGTCTTATCAGTGGCCGGATTCTGATCGGCGCAAATGCGGCCATGATTTTTCGTACTCGATGTATTTCCGGCCCGACGATAATCGCTGTTTCTCCTAGTTATTCGACGCTTTTTTGCCTCACGTCTCTCTTTTTGCTCTTCGTTCGTTATCTCAAATTTAGATTCTGAACACCAACTTGCGACGATTAATCACAGCTATATTTAGAGTTGAATCTCGAAGAGAAAATGTTTGGCAACCGTGAATGTTAAGATTGTAAACTCTGGAAAACTTGCACAGAAAAAAATGCCAGAGTCCGATACGCAATTAATCCAGCAGCCTTTGGCAAATTTTTACTTGATTTATATTAAGTATTTTCCAAGTAAAATATTTACTTCGAGTAAAAAATTTATTTACGAAGGGTATTTGATAAGTCAGTCACTTGGAACGCATATTTTACGCATGAACGCCCAACTGTGGTAATAATGCTGCTGAAAAAAATCCTCGGTTTTAAATTGAGAGAAAATGAGAGGTAGTAAAGCTAGTGAGCCCGGCATACCCTATACAGCAAGGTAAGATACCAGCGAGAGTGTAACGAAGCTGTCCTTTTGCGAGTCACGTGTAGCGTGTCATAAATCGATGCTGATTGGCCAATAAAAGCGTGGCGGTCGTACCGATTGGCCGGCATCGCCCACGTGTACGGGTAATGGACACGTGCGTTTTTTTTCTAATTACCTGCTCGGATCCTACCCTAATCGTTGGCCATCACTCCGAACTCGCTTGGGCCACTTTGTCTCTCTCTCTCTCCGTCCGGTCGGTATGAGCGGTCCGTCGTGTGAATTAAACTAATAACGTAAACGCCCTTGAACCTTCGCCTCCTTCCTTCGCGTGCAAGCCCTTTTTGTTGCGAACGTTTGATTTTTCATTTGGCATTATTGATATTATTCACGTCACTTGCACGCGATTACCTTCCAGGTTTCTTCATGAACGTAGAGAAAAATAAAAGAGAAATTGTGTAATAGAGAAGAAAACTTTAATCAGGATATTAATTATAGTAAAATTATTGAAAAATAATTGGAAAAATTATATAAATTTAAAATATTAATAAATTTATTGATATGAATTAATCTCATTCCTGCAAAAAGGTAATGAGTAAAAATTCGTTCCATCGTTCCAAAAATAATCAATGTACGATAAAAAATGTTTCTGTTAAAAACAGCCCACCGAAATTTTGTATTATTCTAACATGGAGAGGATGTGTAAAAAAGTACGCAAATATACGTTAACACATTTATTTTATTAACGCATGTTAACAAGGTAAATATGTGTTAATTTAACATTATATTTATATATTTTTTAATACATTCTCTGTGTGAAAGTAACACGAAATTCTCTATTGTATCTAAAATATACCAAAATTGATATTTTTAATCCTAAATTGTTACTTAAGATAATACAAGAGATTTTCGGACTCCATGTTGCAAGTAATCAAGTTCAACACTAGAAGCAAGATTTATTAACGAAACCGATTCGATCTTAATCGCAAGGAAGGCAGTTTGCTACAGATTTGCGACGGTTATAAATTATATCTCAAGACATCTCGGAACTATTATTGAAACGTTTAGAAAGTCACCGGGTACATCGGCGCCCGACCGCGAAACCTGGCGGTACCGCTAGTACGATTAGCGGAAGTCGCTCGTTGCGTTTTTACAACCGGCGATCTAGTATGAAAGAACAATCGACAATAATGCCTTTATCCGTTCCGACCTGCCGTCGGTCCGGCTCTCTTTTTCGTCGGTGAGCATCAATGGGCCCCTGTCTGTCCTATGTCATTTATCGACCACATTCCTCCCCGCGGCTGAAAGAAGGGTCGTACACCCCCCCCCCCTTCCCCAACCGAGAGAATCTTCACGGTCGGTTCGTTCGAACAACCAAAAATCTGATTGTGCAACCTTCTGCCAATTTATTCGCAAACGATGGCTCCTCAAAGCGCTTTGTATATTGAACGCGAGTGGAAAAAGGACCTTGTCCATCTTCATATGGAGCCCCTTGCGTGTGATAACGGGACTTACAAGTTGTTAGCTAAAGGGGAATAGAAGGGAATCTCGACCAAGATATTAGAGTACCTGAGGAAAAGGCAAACGGATATTTGCGTTTCATTAAAATCGTCAGATGAGGAAATTACACTCGTCGATTCCGGCGGTCCTTCTCAGCTCAAAGGACGTATAAAATTTTCAATAATTTGTCATTCCTCCAATGATCATTACATAACTCGTCACTGG